CGAAACCTATACTTGGACCAAGAGGCAGTCGTCAGAACAGAGCAGGGCAACACTGCATGGTTCACAATTGGGAAGGGTGTATGCCAGGGATGTGTGCTATCTCCATACCTTTTCAACCTGTATGCAGAACAGATTATCCGAGAGGCTGGGCTCTGTGAGGAGAAGCCTGGCGTTAGGATTGGTGGACGATCTATCAAAAATCACCTTTATGCAGATGACACAATCCTGCTCCCTGAAGCTGAGGAGGACTTCATGCACTTACTGCAGAGGGTCAAGGACTGCAGCCTTCAATATGGACTGAGGCTCAATGTCAAGAAGACAAAAAAATGATTCATGTTAAGAAGTATATTTTTAAATATTTGGATTCCTGTCCTTATATACGGAGTCTGGTAGCATAGGGTGTTGACTGCTAACTGAAAGGCTGCCAGCTCTAATTCCCCAGTTGCTCTGTGAGAAACAGATAAGGCAGTAGAATCTCACAACAGCGTACAGCCTTGGAAATCTGATGACGGATCACAGGGAATCAGAATTGACTTGAGGGTGTGCGTTTCCTTTTGGTTTTGGTACTATAGATCTGATTGTTTTTGAGTTTGTCTTTTAGAGCAAAAGATTAGGATAAATATGAAGAAGTTTTTAAAATACTGTCTTTAAACATTTTTTTTGTTTGACATGGAAAAATGGTAATTCTTAAAAATATTTCAGTTATTTAAAATTTAATAAAATAAGTCTCTAGGTTATGAATGAGCTCTCTTTCTGTGCCTCTTTTAGAACTTCTAGATCCATAATAACTGGAACATATAGTTCTTTCTTTTCAAGACATAGTTCAAGGACTTTTCGGTTACTTAAACTCTGTACTTGTAGCAAGTCAGAGACATATTAAAACAAGATGTTAGCTCACTCTAGCCACCCTGAATGTGTGTGCTTTCTCTCCACTGTCCTGCTGCTAAAGCCAGACTCTCACAGCAGGCTCCTACTAGAGCTCATAGTGCCTCTTAGGAATATCTCTTTCTTGGGCTTTCATCCATAATTTCTCCTCGTCTGGTTACCATGACAAATCAACCAAGTTGTAAAAATACTCATCAGTTCCTCTTTCACTTCATCACCTATGAAAGAACTTACATGAATCTTTCATTAAAAGACAAATGTAAGTTGTCTGTAAACTGGACATAACCTGGGGACTGCCTGTAGTTTACATACAGATGATATAATAGCCCTATCATACCAACCATTCAGATTTACAGATAGAATCATCTTGCCACATTTACCTCATATATTATAGATAGTGATGAAGTCCTTCCAATCATACCCAAAATTACATCACTTCCCTTTATCCCCAGGGGTAACTGCTGTCATAAATTTACTATGTACTCTTCCTGTACATGTGTTTAAAGTGTACGTGTATTTTTGTAATGAAATATACAAAGAGCTGGAGTTATAAAATCAAAAGGGAAAAACTTGCTTGGCATTTCTCAAGCTGAGAGAACTTGAAGAACAGATTCAAGCCTTAAGTGGCAATACTGAAGAATCTTATGACAAAATCTTGAATGATTGAGGAAGCATCAAAAGTAGATGGACGGAATACACAGAGTCACTGTCTCAAAAAAATTGGCTGACACAGAACCACTTCAGGAAATAGCATCTGACCAAGAACAAATTATAAGAAATGAAGAAGTACAAGCTACACTACAACTTTGGGAAAAATGAGACTCTAGGAATTGATTGAATGCCAATTAAAGTGTTTCATCAAATGGTTACGTGATTACCAAACTGTGTCAAGAAATCTTTAAGACAACTACCTGGTCATCTGACTAGAAATCTGTATTTATTCCCATTCCCAAAAATGGTGATCTGATATAATGTGTAAATTTTTTAATAGTGTCATCAATATCAGATATAAACAAAATACCTTGCTGAAGATTATTTTTTAAAAAAAAACCAAAAAACAGCTAAAACAGTACCTTGACAAAGAACTGCTAGAAAGTCAGGCTGGATTTAGAAGAGGCTGTAGCACAAGGGATTCCTGTTGTCATATGGATCTTGGCTGAAAGCAGAAAATGCCAGAAGATTGTCAGTTTAAAGACCAAGATGTGTCTGATCCTGTGCATCTGAAAGTTGGACAGTGACTTAGGATGACTACAGAAGCAACAGTACCTTTGAGCTGTGGTGTTGTAGAAGAGTACTGAATATTATTACATGGACTGCCAAGAGAATAAGCTTCTGTTTTGGAAAAAGTTAAATCAGGCTACCATCTTGGAGGCAAGGGTGGTGAAACTTCGCCTCACATACTTCAGGCATGTTGTTTGGAGTAGCCAACCCTTGGAGAAGGATATCATGCTTAGAATGGTGGAGGGTCAGCATAAGAGAGGAGGAAGACCTTTGACGAGATATATTGACATAATGATTAACAGTGGGTTCAGGTGTGTCGGCAATAAGGTCAGCGTTCAGATTTGGTTTTCATAGGGTCGCTAGGAGTCATACTTGAGTCAACAGCACATAACAACCACCATATGTAATACTATATTGCTTGTTTTAAACATATCAAATAATTTTACACAAATCTCAAGTTTTTATATTTTTAGTATTTAATTCTAAATGTTTTTTTTAAATTTTTCATATTGATTTCTTTCATCTTAAGTTTTTTTAAAGTGTATGGAATTTTCTTGTTAACTTTTTACTTTCTAATTTGCTTAATTATGCCATCATTTTCATTCTTGATCTCATTTTAGCACATAATTCTTAAAATTTTGTTTATGGAAATTCTGAGGGGTGTGTTGAGGGTAGATGGTTTAAGACGGAGTTTATTTTTTTTTCTTGTTCCTAAAAGTAGTATTAGCTCATAATTGCTTTCAATTTAATTTTATGCTGAATATTCATTAGACAATCCTTGGGATTTTCTAAGAAACTATCTTATCACCACCCAGAATGCTTTGTCCCTACTTTTAAAAAGGCTTTGAAACCTTGAGCCAGCAGTGGAGAATTGAGTGCCTTTTATGTGTCCTTTACCATTCGTTCTTTGAAAAAAAAATTTTTTTTTGA